ATATATAAATCTTATCAAAGTCAACACTATCCTCTAGCGGTAGGAGTGTATTGCATCAGTTAACGAGGCGAGGCGCTCATGCGTAGACCTCAAAGGTTGGCATGTATTTTCAGAAAGATCTAGAAAGAGTCAGATATTAACAAACTGTGATGGTAAGTTAATCCCAGTGGAAGGCAGCGCATAGTGAAAGTTTTATGGGGTGGAAATAAACTGAACTTTCAGCCTGGCTTTTTGCCCGGAAAGTGAGAGCTACGCAGCTCTATACCGCCCCATATGACGTTTTTTTTCGTCTTCTTCTTCTGTTTTTTTAAGGTGGGCAATTTCTAAAAGAAGTTTCAGTGAAATTAAAGCAGGTTCCTCTTTGAACCTGAAACTTCACTCCTGACCTTGTGCCCGAGTTCTGACTCTTTGATGATATTTTGGGGACTTACTCCAATCACACGATGAATAATAGGGTGACTGTGTGTCCCACTTTTTTCTTTTTTTATCATTTGTCCTCCCCCCGATCCCACGAGACATGTCCCACGGTTTTATTAACTGGCATTTACGCATGTCAGCCACAAAAACATGTCCATGGATCCGTGGATGCAAAAAGTGATCGATCGTATTTAAAGTGTTGTAAATGGTTTGTTGGCCTTCAGTGTTTCAAACACATCTCAAACATGTCCTTCATTAATGATATCGAGTCACCTTGTCACAAGGTAGAAGATGCAATCGGTTTTTGACAAAGTCACTTGTATGTCTTTTATTTATAGGAGTAAAACGTCTCACAAATATTAAAATGTCTTTTCCAAGAGGAGATCTTTTCAGAAGGGCAGCAGAAATTGCCACAAATATAACAAAGCAGTTCTATAAAGATATTTTACATGTGATCAAAGAAACTGGACTGATTGTAACAGGACACAGAGTGGGAACAATAATGCATGCTATACTGGTCATTTCTTTAATTTTCTATGTAACCATTTCTCTCGCACATCCTGTCCACTACAGCCTATTTACCAGTGTAAGCAAAGATATTACGCATAAAAAACACAGAAACGTAAGCAATCACCTTTTTACTCAGATGGCAGCTACATAAAAACAAACGAGCTTCCGTTATGTTTAGAAAATTGCTTTTAAATTGAATAAAGTCAATTTTTACTTTGATATGATCGATGCCAAATCTTTACCGGCATATTGCGCGCTCGCGTGTGTGTGTTTAAGCTATCGCTCAGCTTTAGTAACGCGCAGTGCCTGACCAAACCAAACTCTTTGCTCAACATTTATTGTCTCTCGTTGAACTGATCATACTCATAAAAAGAAAATGCAATAAAGTTTTTCCATGACCAAATGTCGTGCTCATGGACCTACTAGGTCAGCGCGACAGCAAATATAAATAGGTAATGTATTCATTCTTAGAATGAATAAATAAAAAGCTGTAAGTCCCGGTGACATGTTTGCCTTGATTGGCCTGACTAAACATGGAAACTATTTGAAGGATGAAAGAATCTAACATTTCTCAACGGAGATTAACAGAGTTAATAAAAACACCGAGACTGTTGACAAAGTATAGCTATCTTAAAATGGGAAGTGCATGACTTCTGGAAAAGTTCATGTGTGCAATCATGTCTGCACAAATTGCAAGTATAACCTGTGTTTACACAGTTGTGTAGATGTCGTTTGATATGCACAAGAGAAACCAAAACCTTCTGTGTGCTCCCGGAAAAGCTGGAAATATGTATCACGACAGTTAAAACCTGTTAATCAGGGTATTTATGATCAAACCGATATGGGGCAAGGAATGGAAAGTTTGAAAAATATGCGCAGTTTCACACATTTATATTTAGGAATCAAATATTGTTTCATTCAGCAATGATCGTCGAAACGTGGAGTTGCCTCATTTTAAGGAGAAATCTGTAAAACCCGACGGTCTCACTGTACAAGCGAAAACGCGCTCGCTACGTAGATTGCTTTAATTAAGGGTTTTGTTTTGAAATGTGTAATGGGAAGTTTGGTGTTGTGTTTACGGTAGATCTGCCTCATGGAAGCACAAAGGAGTCCTGTAAAAGACAGGAGGAGAGGCGCTCGTGCTGGTGGGATGCCACTCGTGGAACAGATGGTTGAAGCGTGCGCCGTGCGCCATTAATCTGCCAGAGAAGAAGCTTTTCCAAGCGCGCGGGAGAAAGGATTATGGCTCCATTTACACGTACACACAAACATACACACACACGGATGGCACGTGCTACTGCTGCATCACGTACACGCGGTTTTGCTCGCCGCAGGGGCGTTTCCAGGACTTTTTAAAATGGGGTGTCACAGGTGGGACCGGGAACAAGGCGCACACCAGAGTGTTTATCATAAATCTAAACACACTCGGCCTCGTGTGTTTCTCTGCATCCTGTCAACGATTCATTAGATGTAAAGAAGTGCTGCACACACATTTAAACATAGATTACTTGGTGCTGGATAACTGTTGTGTAAAGTGGGAAATATATTTAAAAAGCAACATTTATTCAAGTAAACCTTCTAATCCTACTTAATTATCCTAACAGCACACATGTTTTATAATTAAATTATATTTAAAACATGTAAAGAAAAAACTTCCACATTCATTATGATGTAATATTTGAGTTCTAGTTAGGTCTGTGGAGTGTAGTACTTGAGTTTAGGTCTTGTGTCTCAGTCCTGGTTGTCTTATTGTTCTACTGTTTGGAATTAAAGTCTGTGAGTCCACTCAGAGTTTCCGTCTGTCATGATAGTTCTGGTTTCACGGTTTCAGCTATTATTTATTTTCTGCTTTGCTTTGGTGATCACATGTCTCTGGTGTTTTGTGTTTAACTTGATCTTCTCCTGTCTGTCATTATTATCTACACCTGGGTCTTTTTTTATCCTTCTGTGCCCAACTCCTTGATTACCCTCGTGTGTAAAAGTCCAGTCTTCATCGTAGTTGTTGTTTGATTGCCTTTCTTTCCTGATGCTGTGTTCATGTTATCTGCCTGCTTATAAACATCCATCCATTCATCCATCCACCCTCTTCTGCTTATCCTTATCAGGGTCGTGGATTCAGTTTGCGTCTATTTTTCATGGACTTTAGGATTTTGGATTCAGAAAATGGTCTAAATAAAGGTTTTCCTTACATCTCCCTGTCTGTAAGTCTGCATTCGATTTCCTTTACCTGCAACTTATGACACACACATTGCTGGGCCGCTTGATTTAGGGGGGTGGGTCAGGAAAGGCATTTGGGGTAAAAATCTGTCAAAGCAAATATATGGAGCTACACACTGTGAGCCCTTCGGGAGCAGTGAAAGTAGTCTATCAGCAAAATCATAAGAAACTCATATTTTAATATTAACAGTATGAAGTACAAAGTACAATGTTTGCATCCAAAATAGATAAAAAGCAGAAAGTAGCATACTGCAAAAAAAAAAAGAAGAAGAAGAAGAAGAAGAAGAAGAAGAAGAAGAAGAAGAAGAAGAAGAAGAAAAAGGAAATTACCATAGTAACGGTAGTAAGTTACTTTCCATCCGGTGCTATCTGTGCTGTCATCTATCATTGCCACAATAGCAGTGCTCTATTGTGGGGCGGGGCAGGAGCTAAGTTGCTTCCGATTAGCTACAACCTGATGGATAGAATAAAAAGTCTGTTATTGAAAGAAAATCAGAAGGAAGTTATTGTATTACTCTGCTAAAGGCTAAGGTCACTTTTACTCTTCTCTGTTTTTTATGCATCTTTTCATCCCTGTGGAAACATTACAGTTTATATGGAACTCATGGGTTGAAATGTGACTGTTTGTACAATAATCTATGTAAGAATAGATCAGGGCTGTTACCAGGATGTTTTTTAACGGGTTGCCAAGGGGGCTAACCAAATACAAGTAGAGGAACCCACAGGACCCACACCCTCTGCTCAAGTAAAACGTGCAGTTCTGAACTTATGTTACTGTACAGACTGTGCTTGTCATGAAAATATACTTAATTTAAATAACAGTAATGTTATGCAGAATGGCTCTTGTCGGAATTATATAGATGACTTTATCTGTATTCTTACTGGATTGTTTTCTGTATTTGAAAGTCTGCAAAATCATACAATATTGACAATATTTTTGTATCAGTGGAATAAAATCAACAAAGCATAGAAAGTCTATCTATCTAT